TAGACGTAAATATCGGTGTCCCTACATAAATATGCATGTCTATTCACTCGATTTTTGGCATTTTTCATTTTTTTTGTGGGAAATTATGGATTTGGAGGAGGTTCGGCGGTTGGAGGTTTTAATGCCAGGTCTAAGGATGTCGAACCAATTGATTTATCTCAGGATTCAAAAGAAAATAACGCTGGTGATTCAAAAGAAAATAAAGTTATTTTAAATGTTGGTGGTGCAAAGGTAATTTTTTTAATTTAAATTTGGTCAATTAATATTTTTCAATACGTTAATAACTTTTGTTTAAATAGTATGAAGCATATAAATCAACTTTTACAGCCTATCCTGAAACTTTATTGGGATCAATGTTTAGCGAGAGCAATAAATCTCCAACACCTTCAATTGAGACTAACAAATCCCATCCTATCAAGTTAGCTGGATTTAGCGCAACCCCGTTAGCTGGATTTGGTCAATCTAAGCCATTTGGCCATAGCAAAACTCAGCAAAATGAATACTTTTTTGATAGAGATGGACAAGTATTTCGGTACATCATGCAATTTTATCGTACTGGAAAAATTGTATGGCGAGAACGTGAAGATTCTTCAAATGGGATTACTCGTCAAGAAATTGAAGACGAATTGAAATTTTTTAAAATTCCAAAGAATGTAATTGAATTGAATCCTATCACCAAAATTATGGCCTCTCGTATCAATGAATTTACTGAGTTCTTTATGAAAGCAATTGAAAAATATATTTATACTGGATATTCCAAAGAAAACTTGACATTTGCTTTCTATGAAGATGGAACGCTACCAACATGTTGTCCTATTCTTATAAAACCCTTTCTCGAAAGTCAGAAATTTAATGACTTTCAATATATTGGATTTACTTTATTGCAAGGCGTTGGAGATGAAATTGGAAAGTTTTTAAAAAATGAGATTCCACAGCTTCAATGGTCTATTTGTATTAAAGATCGTCATTGTTTTGTTAATATTTCTATCACAAATCCTTTCATTAGCGATAAAGAATTAATAATTTTGAATTCTTGCCTCGAAAAAACTAGATGTATCTAGTAATATTATTTTGTTTTTTTTTCAAATTATTAATTTGTAATTTCGATATTTTTAATCAACTTATTAAATATTGAAAAGTTTTTTAACAGTCGACTTTCTATAAGCGCATACTTGCTATTTTATGAAATTTTATATTAATAAAAATTAATGGCTTTTTATAATCAAATTAGAATTGTGAAAATTTAAGGCAGTAAGTTAGTTGGAAAAATATAACTCAACAGGTATCACTATTCTCAACTCGGGATGGGTTCGGTTGCGGTTATAGCCAGTCAGTGACCGGTTATAACCATAACCGATATTAAACGGTCAGAGATTTTGATCGATCGGTTAAAATCATGACCTATTTTCAAATTACAATTTTTTTAAAACTTTAAACGAAGAAATTTAGATAACTACCTATAAAAATTTTTTTATATTCTTATTCTATAATTCTGTAGAATTAAATAAAAACTTTTTTTTATCAAATTTGGTCAGATAGTTGTTATATATCTTTGCTCAAAATATACAAATTTTCAAAACCAATTTCCGGTCAAAATTATGATCATCCTAAATTACGTTATTATAGACCAAATCCATTTTGCGGCAGCAAGGTCCAATGTACTTTGTACTAATAACTATTATAGTTATCAAATGGCGCTCGAAGATTTTCACAAAAATAAAATTTTACTAATGAAGTCATTACAGTTTGCGGAAACTTACAAAGATCCATCTATATTTAACATTTTCTGAATGCATTGAAATTGGGAGAGCGACGCGCAGTATAGCAGCTCATTATTACTTATTTATTTGTAGAATATATGAATATTATATCTTGTAAGTGTAACAATAATTGTATGTAAATTTTCACACATACACGTACTGTACATTAACAATTCTTCCGTTCTCATTTTTAATAATCAGTGATTATCATTTAATCAATCCAACAAAAAATCCTACAAAAAAAATGAAAAATGCCAAAAATCGAGTGAATAGACATGCATATTTATGTAGGGACACCGATATTTACGTCTAAGAATCATGTTTTTACCATTTGTTGTTATAGCATAAGTAATCGCGTTTATATGGATAATTGCATTTATTTATTTTTGTCTTTCAATTAATATCAATCAAGTTAACAACGATAGAATAGATCATGGGATAAACAGAATATAGAAGTACTGCACATGCTATGTGAAGATGTAACGCGTGAAGTTCCTTTATGCATTCACACCTCTACTTCGCCATATGCATTTGTCCAATAAGAATCAAGATTTTGCGGACATACACCACTTAATTTGCAATATAACCATATACTCCGTGAAATTTAATATCACTCCGTTCCTGGTAATCTACTTTTAATAATATTCAATAATATGAGAGCAACCTAAACTATAAGTTTTGGAATTAAAAGGCTTTGTGAAGTTTCTACAAAATGCAATATTTGATTAATCAATATTTAGAAAATACTGTACTATCAAATGAGTTTTATTCTGTTACCTTGATAATATGATACTGTATGAGTAAACTTGCTTTTATAATTTTCTTTATAATACGTTTGTATGTGTGCAATATTTATTATTTTACTTTCGGATAATTCTATCAAAATCCTTTTATCATTTTCCCAGTTTGTAAAAGTCTCGTAAATTTCTGTTGCTGATGGACGGTTTTGAGGTTTTTTATCCCAACACCTTTCAACAAGATTTATGTAACACTTTGGTGTTCCTTCAAAAAATGTTGGTCTTAAGCCATTAACAATTTGAATTAGAAGTTGCGCTCCAAATTCTTGATCAAAAAATACAGGCATTCCAGAAAATATTTCCCACATAATAGAGCCAAATGAATATATATCAGATTCCATCGTATAAGGGTTTCCTTCCAAAACTTCCGGTGCTATATATGGTAAAATTCCACAAATTTTATCAGATTCTATTTTTGAGGCGATTTTAACAGAGATTGAAAGTCCTAAGTCTGCGATATATGCGCTTTTTAAATTATCTTGTAATATATTGCCACTGTGTAAATCTCTATGAATGAGCTTTTGTGAATGAATGGCCTGAAGATCAGCAGCAATGCAAAGTAACAAATTTAATTTATCCTCCCATTCCATTTGTGATATATGATGGAGATTATTACGCAAAGAACCTTTTGTTGCATATGTCATAACCAAAACATAATCTCCAGATTCATTTTTTGATATTCCATGGCATTTTAAGAATGTAGGATTTTCATAACCAATATCGCAATATGCTTTCAGCTTCAATAAGAAACAAAATAGTTAATTCCACACAGACATAATAAACTTCATTAAAATATATTTAATTATTACCTCTTTTATAAATTCTTCCCGATTATATTTACTTGATCCATGAAGTAACTTTAGCGCAACATTACTTAATATTCTTTGATGCGTCCACTCAGCATAAAATACCGTTGCAAATCCTCCTTGGCCTATTGCTTTAATTTTTTGAAATTCATTATAAGGAATCCATAGCAATGGGTATTTATGCTCAGACAGCATTCTTTTTAAGTCTTCATCAATATCAATAGTTTTATGCTCCCATTCGCTTTTATCTAATCATAAATAAAATTTGGTTGGTTTATTTTTTATTGGATGAAACAACAAGCTATTATTGAAATTACCTGATAATAAACTTCTATACCTAATACATTATTCGAATAATATATTTTAGAAAGTTTATGAATAAAAAATCACATAACTATAATCAATTTACTTACATTTGATATAAACTAGTAGCTTTTTGTATATCTCTTGTTACGCCGATTCCATTTCGATAGCAATCACCAAGATTTTCTATCCCAACAGCGTGTTTCATTTCAACTAACTTCTCATAATATAAAGCCGCCTGATGTTCATTCTTTTCAACACCAATTCCATTTAGATAACAATGGCCAAGATTATTTATTCCATCTTCATGTCCCATTTCTGCCGCTTTTTTATAAAGGGTAAATGCTTTTTGTTCGTCCTTTTCAACTCCAATGCCATTTTGATAACAATCACCAAGTGAAAAAATTCCGCCAGCATGCCCCATATTGGCAGCCTTCTGAATATAAGTGAATGCCTTATGTTCATCCTTTTTAACTCCAATCCCATCTTTATAACAAGTTCCAAGACTACTTATTCCACTAACGTGCCCCATATCAGAAGATTTTTGATAATAAATAAATGCTTTATGTTCATCCTTTTCTACTCCAATTCCATGCTTATAGCAATAACCGACATTATATATTCCCATAAGATCACCCAAATTTGCAGCTTTTTGAAAATTAATAAATGCTTTATGCACATCCTTTTCAACGCCTATTCCATAATGATAACAATAACCAAGATCACACATTCCACTAGCATGTCCCATGTCAGCAGCTTTTTGAAAATAAATAAATGCTTTATATTCATTTTTTTCAATCCCTATTCCATTTAAATAGTGGTATCCAGTATTATATATTCCTTTAACATATCCCAACTCAGCAGATTTTTGATAATAAATGAATGCTTTATATTCGTCCTTTTTAATTCCTATCTCATTTTGATAACAAATACCAACGTTATAAGTTCCATGAGGATTCTCCATCTCAGCAGCTTTTTTATAATTATTGAATGCTTTATAATCATCCTTTTCAACACCTATTCCATTTTGATAGCAATAACCAAGTTCACTCATTCCACTAGCATATCCCATGTCAGCAGATTTTTGATAATAAACGAATGCCATACGTTCATCTTTAATAACCCCAATTCCATAATGGTAAAAATATCCAAGAATTAATGTTCCAATAACATGTCCCATCTCTGCGGATTTTTGGCAATAAATAAATGATTTATTATAATCTTTTTCAACTCCAATTCCATAATAATAACAATTGCTAAGGTTATAGGTTCCATCAACATGTTTCATCTCAGAAGATTTTTGATAATAAATGAATGCATTCTGCTCATCCTTATTAACCCCAATTCCGTTCTGGTAACAATACGCAAGATCATTCGTTCCATTGGCATGCCCCAACTCTGCAGATTTTTGAAAATAAACGAATGCTTTATGTTCATTCTTTTCAACTCCAATTCCATTTAGATAACAATGTCCAAGAAAAAATATTCCCTCAACATATCCCATTTCAGCAGATTTTTGACAATAAATGAGTGCCTTATGTTCATCCTTTTCAACTCCAATTCCGTTTCGATAACAATATCCAACGTTATAAGTTCCACAAGAATCTCCCATATCAGCAGCTTTTTGATAATTAATGAATGCCTTATGCTCATCCTTTTTAACTCCAATTCCATTTCTATAACAATATCCAAGTTTAGTTATTCCATTAACACATCCCATTTTAGCAGACTTTTTATAATAAGTAAATGCTTTATTTTCATCTTTTTCAACTCCACTTCCATTTTGATAACAATCACCAAGGCTATATGTTCCGCTAGCATTTCCCAAATTTGCAGATTTTTGGTAACAAATAAATGCCTTATTTTCATCCTTCTCAATTCCAATGCCATTTTGATAAAAAAAACCGAGCATAAATGTTCCATCAGCATTCCCCATCTCAGCAGATTTTTGATAGTATATTAGTGCTTCATGTTCATCTTTATCGACCCCAACACCGTAATTATAACAATTAGCAAGACCGTATATTCCAAGTGAATTACCCATTTTAGCTGATTTTTGATAATAATTGAATGCATTATGTTCATTTTTTTCGACAACAATTCCGTAATTATACCAAATTGCAAGGTTATTTATTCCATTTATATTTCCCATATTAGCTGACTTTTGATAATAAATAAATGCCATATTTTCATCTTTTTTGACTGTTATACCATTTTGATAAAAATATCCAAGAATATACGTTCCATCGGCATGTCCCATATTAGCTAACTTTTGATAACAAATGAATGCCTTATATTCGTCTTTTTCAACTCCAATTCCCTTCATATAACTAACGCCAAGGTTAAATAATCCTTTGTCATAATCCATATCAGCAGATTTTTTATACTGAATAAATGCTTTATACTCATTCTTTTCAACCCCAATTCCATAAGTATAGCAATTACCAAGATTAACTATTCCGCAAGGATATCCTATTTCAGAAGATTTTTGGTAATAAACGAATGCTTCATATTCATTCTTCTCAACTCCAATTCCATTTTCATAACATTTGCCAACTTGATTCATTCCACAAGCATCCCCCATTTCCGCAGATTTTTTATAATTAAGAAATGCTTTATTTTCATCTTTTGTAACTCCAATTCCGTTTTGATAACAATAACCTACTTGAAAAATTCCGTCAGAATATCCTATCTCGGCAGATTTTTGATAATGAAAGAATGCTTTATTTTCATCTTTTTTTACCCATTTTCCAAAATGATAACAACTTGCTAAAATTATTTGTGCTATTGGATTTATTTGATGATTTAAACACCAATCTATAATATCCTTTTGATTCTTCTTTTTACCTATCAAAAATTGATCTATCTTATCAATAACGATTTCAGTATCTTTTCCTTTCATTCTTTCTTCCTCATACAAAATAAATAATTCTTCAACAATTTCATTATAAAAATCTTTTGATTTTAAGGTATCAACATCTTCTTGCTTGGGTTTTTGAATAATATTACTAAACACTTCATTCGACATTTTTTTTTTTAAAAAAAAAAAATAAACATAAAGGTAAAAAAATTTTTTTTTTTTTAACCATGTGTTCACAATTTTATTAAGTAGTAAAAGTAGTAATAATAACAAGTATGTCGTATAACAATCATTGATTTCGTGTAATAACTTCCACCGAGTTCGAGAAATAATAATAAGATGAACAAATCAGTTCAGTATACAGTGTCACACTCGGAAACGGCGAGTCAGGTTGATCTTCGTGTCACGTAACTCAACAACCTATCGAAAAAGGCACTTGTAAGACTTTGGTTATTGTTCCGGACTCTAGTCGTGGTAGGTCTTCTTTACGTTATTGAGTTTTTAACTTCCCTTAATCAACTTAAACTGACCTATCCTCTACTTTAGGATATCGAACACATGATTAAGCGGGCAAGTTCTTTTACTCAACGAACAATTCGACGATTTCTCCATTATAAAGAGTAAATTGGGCAGCGTAGCGTTATCACGGGAACAAGTTTATACGTACTTTAGCGAAAGTCTTTATACGTAAAAGATCAGATAAGTGGTTTTAGCGATTTACACTTTGGGAATTTATGTGTTAGGGACAGAACATTTAATAATTCAGAACGAGAACTTATTTTATGTCAAGAGCTCGATATTGAACAGAGAGGCGAAAATCCCTTTATTTATATAAAATATAACATAGTACGAATTTAAATAATTTAAATAATTATAATTGTTATAATCGTTATAACAATTATAAAGACTATAATCATTATATACACATTATAATCATTATACACATTACAATCGTAAAATGATTATAATAATTATACTCATTAAAATCATAATTGGTTATAGTTCTACATCAAGTAATACAAAAATTACATTTTTGATGCATTTCAACTACAAAAAATGTTTTTTTTTGACGCATCTTCATAAACATTAAGTAGATCATATCAGAAATGTAATTTGGAAATTTTTTGTCTGTTTGCATATGTGTTTAAATAGGAGCTAGCCAAAATCTAACAAACAGAATTCTAACAAGATTAAAATTCTAATAGATTAGCTTATATTAGGGTTGGAGTTAGTATAGTATAGTTAATTTGGTTAGTTTTGTTTTGTTTATCAGAAATTTGTTTGTCAGAATTATGATCCAAACCTATTTAAATTTGATATTTTAGTATTTGCTAAGCTTTAGATATATAATATTATGTATTAACCTAATTATTTTTTTTTATTTTTATTTTTTTTTTAAAACTTAGGTGATCTTGCCTATCACTTTGTTAAGGAAAGTTTAACAAAAAGCTATATGATAACATACTATAAAAATTATACTAAATTACCCTTCTAAGTACTGATCCAGACTCACTTGGCTGCCTTTAAGGTGCCCAAGTGTGATCTGCTGTAGTAACAATTTCCCTCATAAAAAACGTTAGACTATCTGATAGCTTATTTGCTTCCTAATCCTAGGGAGGCTACTACTAGCCCATATCAAGACTACCTAGTCTTTTCTTAAAAACTTTTTCTACTTATATTCTAGCAGAATAAAGAAAAAATATAGTTCTATGAAGAGGCAATATAGGGGACAAAGAAAAAGAAGAAAGAACAAAAAGGATAAGAGTGACTAAAAATCTATATGGAAAAAAAGAAAAAGTATCAGAAACAGATAAAAAAAGTAAAGAATAAAAGATTATTGCAGTCTCAATATATATGAACAAAAGAAAGAAAAAAAGTTGCAACAAAAAGATACTACATGAAAATAAAAATTATATAGTATTTTGAATAAATGAAGCTTTTACTCTAAATCTATTGTGTACTATAATAAAAACTAGTAGTATAAAAACTCTACTAGAAATATAAAGAACAGAACACCTAAACAAATACAAAGAGACCTGTATACGTGTTTATTTATATCACTATTTCATCATTGTCAATTTGTACAGATAGCTCACATGATGTTATCTCTAATTTGGTAGGTATATTTCCAATTTGGGTCGAGTAAACATTGCTGATTATTTTGAATGTATGAGCTGCATTGCCACTTTTTTGTGAAAAAAATACCAAAAGCAAAATGATGAAGAGAAGGACTGTATAATGAGAGTACCAATAGTAAAGATTTGTAGGAATATACGTTATATAGAATAGTATATTCTACTAAGTCTATACTCTTGCTATTGATTGAATATGACTTGACAAATACTTCCTTGGTTGTTGTCAAAGCTACTTTTTCAATAGCTCTGTAGACTTCTACTGGAGAGCCAAACCTATAAGGAGCAGTCTTTTTCAACTCTGTTTCATATTGTCCACAAACAATCTGAAGCCCTTGAATCTAGTTGCTACTTAGCGAAGTTTTGTTGTGTAAAAATATACTAAATATATAATATTCGTAAGTCAGTATTTTGTGAAAATATTGGTATGAGGAATCATCAGAAAGAGTTGTTTTTATTAGCTGTATTAACCTAGTTATTATAATTATTATAATTATTATAATGATTATAATACTAAGATATTTTTAATTGTTAAAGATCTATCTAACCAAAAATTATATTGCAGATTATTTAATAATCTTAGATAGAATTTTATCTAGTTATATTTTCTAGTTACAATAGTAATCTATAATATATTATAACAGATACTAATATAATTAATAATTATATTTAGTAAATTATTTATTTATTATTATATTATACTTAATAATCTAGCTAATAGTGAAAAAAATTAACTTAGCTAAAAAATTGGTTTAGCTGATTAATTTTTTTAAAAATTAGCTAATTGATTTATTATAATATATTTAAAAGTTTTAATATAGAAAATAAATAATATAAAGATTTTCTAAACTTCTGATCTAACTGATTTAAGGGTAAGATATAATATTTTAAAATTATATATAAATTTGATAGTATATTTTTTTTGTAATTTTAATTACAAAAATTTTTACAAATTAAATATTTTTTAAACTTCTAAGTAAACTCGTAAAGTAGATACTTGTTATTCTAACAGTAGTAAAATTATTAAAATTAGTTTAAAACTTATTAATATATGAATTTTTAAAAATAAAATATAAAAATTTACTATTAAAATTTTCTTATAGTTTTTCAGAAATTAGCTAATTAAAATTAACTTGTTTGTGTAAATAAAAATTCAAAATATATACAAATATAATTTTTTTAAATTAAATATCTTATAAAATTTTAATATAATAAATAACTTATTTAAATCTATATATTATTAAATTTTTATAAAAAATAAAAAGTTTTATTAGTAGTATATTTTAATTTACTATATAAAAATCTATTATACAATCTAGATTATATGAAAAATAATCTACATATACTCTATCTTTAAAAACTGTTTTTTTATTATTATTTTTTTTTATATTAATTAAGATTTAGTATAGATATAATTTATTTATTTATTTATTATATTTTATTTTAATTAGCTAATTCTAAACTATAAAATACTTTTATTTGTTATTTGCTAATCAAATTACAAAATAAATATAATATAAAAAAATAATATAAAAAATACTTTTTTAATAAAATTACTAATAGTTTAAAATTTTATATAGAAAATAGCCTTTTATATTTTAACTAAAAAATTTTTAATAAAATTTTAATATAAACTATATATATACTAATCCTAAATTGAACTTGTTCTAATCTTAACTAAATTAAAATAAAATATTTTATTCTTATTTTATATTATATCTGAATTATAATTTATAATCAATATATGAGATATAAATATATAATATAAAGCAATATATATATTTATTCTTTTTTGATTATAGTATAGAGAATATTCATATTTTTTGAAAAAGTATAGAATTTTTTATATATTAATTAACTAATTTTTTTTTTTTTTTTTTTTTTATAATGCCAGTATAGAAAAATTATTTTAGTACAATTTAAATATCAAGATGATACTATTTATAACTAAGATTTTTC